ATTCAATTATTCAGTTTTTCGAATTAAGAAATTTTGTAAGCAATTATGTATTAAATATTATGCAAATAAATAAAATATATTACATGCATTAAACTTTTGTGCAGTGCATCTTACTCTCAGCGGTTTTATAAGATTGATATTAATTTATAAAAATTAGATATAATCATAGAATCGACTATATTCATCCTAATATAATTCTTATAATATATTATATTTTTTGTATACATTATAGTTAAAATGTATTACATTCTATAATACGATTGTTTTTATTCGTATGAGATTAGTAAAAATTACTTTTACTAATAACATAGTGTATCACTAATCAGAGAACTAAAACTATTTTTTAGAATCTGTAACTTTCATAAAATAGAACACCTTTTATAGTATTTTATTTGTTTTAATTTAACGTTTTCGTTAAGATTATGCGTATGTAACTCATAACATTTAGGGAAAACAAAATGGTAGACCTAATAATTTGCACAGAGAATTAAATAGTTTATATTTACTTTTTGATTTGTGAATGTTCAATGTAACATTGATATTAACATTGTAAAAAATCTGTGTACGTTGTTAATAAAAGAAATATAATATACGTGTAATGTTATACAATGATAATGTATAAATGCAAAAAATCGTTCACAATCACATTAGGCAAGGTTAAATTCTTTAAGTGCAGTTTGCATAATCGTATCTTTAACAGCACAGAATACAAGCTTGATATTTTCAGTATCTGTTGTATAATTCCATAAACGCAGCATGCAATAATAAATGATAAATCATTAAGTGTAAACAATTATTCTCAGATGTGGAAAATCAATCTGAATTTCAAAATATATACACATGATATGTACTGAAAAATATATCATGCTAATGCTTGCAATAAATATACATTGCTACTCACTTATCAGATGACAAGTAAACTTTGTTCTCTAATGGAAAGATATAAATAGATACTTAAAATTACATAGATTTGCAAGAAAAAATAGAAATGAATTAGACATATCCAATATATTGTGTGTGTATATGCAATTGATTTAGAAATATTTATTTTCAAATTAAATGTCATCATAAACTTATTACAATAAAAATAATATTATATTGTAACAACTTATAAAACACTAACATATATTGTGTATTATTATGTGTATATAATTAAAATATAGTAAAAGTAATATTGCTTTATATATAAAACAAGTTACAATAGATTGATTTTCTATGCATTAATTAATTTATATTATTATAACAATAATGTAAATACCTTGTTTCGAACGCAAGCAACATGCAGACTTATCTTGGACAACAGGCATAATATTAAGAAGCAAAATTTTAATATATATTAACGCATAATAAATGCTAGCAGCCTACCTGTGGCACACGTAAAGTGTGAATAAATTATTTTCTCAGAGTCTGGATTCAAATCGACAAACATCCTTAAAATAAACTCTCTTGCACCTAAAGCATCGTACTTTTCACCTGTGAAATATACAAGTAAGCATACAAATTGGCATTACTGCTACTCGCATTCACCTAACTGCATACAATCACTGTATTTTTCTCTTAATTAAATGGTAAGTGGGATATTATTCTAGGATATAGCTGATCACAAATGCAATATTAATTAGTACTGATAGTATAAAATAAAAATATACGCATATGTATATATATACTACCTAATAGAACACTTATAAAAATATAACAAAAGGTGTTAAACAAAATTATAATCAAACTTAATTACTCTATGGTAATGTATCTATTATTCAATCTGAAAATTATATATGATAGTTAAGAATACTAAAATAAATGAAAGAAGTAAAATAAATAAAATTATTATCTTCCACTTATATGGATTCTGAATTATTTCTGTACAAATTCAATGAGCGTCACAAAGACAATTTATTGAATTAGTCCAATTAACTCTAAAAGAAGCCTTTTAAAAGCTTTACCGACCAGACAAATCTCTTATGTAAGTTGAATTTATATAGGTGTACACTTGATTAAATTACAATACACATTGTACTATAATTGTGTAACAGTTCTGTCTTTTACAATCCTTTAAAGAATATTTGAAATCAATTCTAAGTGAAGTTATATTTGTTACAAAAGTTAAATCTGATAATATTTATAAACATGTGAAAGCTTACTGAAAATCTTTATTATTTATTACCGATGTAATAATTATACTGCTATATGAAAAACAGTTTTTCTATGGGGAAGGGTTAAGCTTTAAGAATACAGTTACAATTTTATGATTGATAGTTGCTAGATTGATTTCGAAAGTTTTCTACAAAAATCTACAATTTCGCCAAGATATACTAGAACAGACCTGTCGCGCACGTGAAGTGAGAGTAGCACATGCGGTCAGGATCAGGATTCGTACTTAGATACACCTGTAAAATGAACTCCCTGGCTGGTATAGGATCCAGTTTAGGACCTGTACCATAAAACTTATTGATTTACTAATAACAAAATGAACAGTATACAAAACAAAATTGAAAAATCATTTTGGGTTCCATTTAATTTGTTACCTATCCTATAAAGGGAAACAATTTGGAATTTACGTACTTTTGTATTGCGTTATAGAGTATATAAAATAAATATAAAATCACACTCAAGAACGTTTTTATAATATTATCAGACATCAACCGTAATTTTAAACGTAATACACAATTTACCCTCTAATGGCACACTTTCAACTTTCATAGTGTTTCATCTTTGTACCCTTTATCATTCAACGATAAAATTATCCATAATTTATGCAAATAAGATAGTATGGGTCTACCATAATGACCAAAAAGTTTAACCAAAACACGACCCAGCTAATAAAGTGCTCATTCAAGACTAGTCGTGCATCACACCATTGTAACATAGATAACTGTAGGTACAGTACTTATGTATGAAAGACTCTGCTCCATAACTTTTTTCAATAGGTAAGTACCTCTACGTATCTTTTGACCATATATGCGCTTTCTTTGATTCAATTCATTTTAAGATAGTTATAGTATCCCATTAAGCACAACTGATAGTAGAAAACAGGCTTACAGGGCAGAATAAAGTAGCGATAATCGGTGGAATCCTTTAATTATTTATTCTTATTCGTTATTTTCCAATCTCTTGTTTAAACATATGTAGAAACATTTTATCAGTTATGCTTTGTAAGTGTGTATACAAGTATAATTTAAGTCCTTGCTCCGTCGACAAGACAGAAGCGAGTCGTTGTATAATAAAAATGGTCATGGGACAGTATACCATTATCTTATATCATTTTGATTGAATTGCGCAAGTTTATGGAGGGTGTAATGTATTACGTTAATTCTTTACGAAATTTTGAAACCATCAAGTATAATTAATGACTTCACTGTGTCATGTATACAGCATAGGACAAAAATACTCTTACAATAAAAATGTGAAATTAAAAATAATTATATTTTCTCCTTACCATTGCATGTATACTTATGTATGTAGTTACAAAGTAGTAATAGTATACTTTCTAACAAGTTTGAAAAAGTTAAGACAATCCACTGAATTCAATGAGTAAATGAAATTAATATACATTTTATTAGTTAAGCCTCTATTGAACTATCTTTTCTAATTAATAAAAATCTGTGGAAATAGCATAACCTATCCGTGGACCACTATTGAAAAAATAAAAGGTTACTAGTATTTAACTGTAATCATTACTAGACTAACTGCAGTTCTCTTAGTTTTATGTTGTTACATGAACATTTTTGTCCCATACTATGTCACATGTTATTATTGGAGCCATGTTAAAAACTCAGTTATGTTTATTAACAAGATTGTCAAGATGAGTTTTATTAATATTGCTTTTAAGAAGAAATTGATTTTTCACTTACCAGTGTATTGAGGAAAATAGTCAACAAGATGGGAATGCATAATCTTCTCTTCTAGCAGATCTTTTTTGTTTAGGAACAAAATGACAGAGGAGTGTTGAAACCAAGGATATGTGATAATTGTTTTGAACAGTGCCTTACTTTCCTCCATTCGGTTCTGAAAATAACACAGACAGTTTAATACTAATAATTTATAACTTTAACAAATACGAAGTTGTATTTTGTTAATCTTGTAATTATAATTACCTCATTCTCGGATTCAAACAGAATTTGATCATATTCACTTAGAGCTACTAGAAAGATAATGGAAGTTACATTTTCAAAACAGTGAATCCACTTTCTTCTTTCCGATCTCTGTCCACCAACATCTACCATCCTGTAAAATAGATTTGTGTTATTATCACTTAACATTTGCCAATTATCCAAGCATTTGCTACATGTTAATGAATGGAATTATTACACCTTAATTTTATATTTCTCATTATAAAGTGCAATTTACAAATGAATTCTATTAATTTACAAAACAGTATTAAATGACTAAAAAGTAACATATTTACAAAATTTAGTTTAGTAAATATAAACTGCATGGGAAAACATGCAAATGATAAGCTGTATAAAGCAAAGGAATAATACAAAAAGAGACAAACAAAAAGAAACCAGAAAAAGTCCATAATATAATAGCAAGTAGCACAATTTTATCTCTCAATGACCAGTACTTTCTACAGTTTACTTCTTTAATCAAACTTACAACTACAATCTACTATTGTACTGACTACTTTCTACTAATTTCTACCATCATAACTACAATTTGTTATTTGATAACCATTAAGGTGACTATGTAAGGTAATTATGTACAAGGTCACATCACTTAAGAAAATATACAAGTGGGTTGTTAGTCAAAATCAGATTTGGACATAAATTGTTAGAAACAAAGAAAATATCATTCCAGACAACAATTAAACATATTATTTTTCCACATTAAAACGAAATACATTATTTTAGAAGGGTATTCATTTATGCTAATCATTTAGAAAAAAAAACTAATAATAGACATCAAATTATACAAACGAATAACGGTACAAGATGAAAGTTATGTTAGGACTTGAATAGAAGAAAAAACTTATTTATTATAGTTAACTGTGAATTCACATTCATGCATATTCTTCACATACATATATAAGTGTTAACACAATTTTTATCAAATCTATGTTAATAAAAACGATTTCTACTCAAATCTCAATTTCAAATACTGTTCATAATTGTTTTCCTTGAAATACTTAATTTTTTTTCCTTGACTCCTTTTCCTCGACCTAAAAACTCCATTTTTAATCTCACATTTTATATACTAATTCATCTCCGCCATTTTACACTTCAATTCTGTTTTCACATTATCGTAATATAGAAACAAGCTATTCATTCGAATAATCGCGATGCAAACTGAACGTTATTTCAACATAAAATAATTGAATATTCATAATCGCAATAACATTTTATTTCAACGATGCCCAAGTCTGACAGAAACAAATAGCGTCACATAAGTACGATTAGAAACAAATAAGATAATGATACGAATAGAACGAACTCGGTAAGCTTTACTCGCATCGAGAACTCAGCGGGGGATAATTTACGGGTACTCAGATCCATTACTCCCTTAGTTAGTATGTAAATTACTTCTAAAGTGTAGAGTAAGAGTAGTCAAGTTTCAAGTAATGTGTGTTAGTACCTAAATATGATGGAGTCCAGATCAAACGGATATTCTATAATGCCAGTAGTAGGAGCTCGAGCCCGAAGAATGTCTTGTTCAGTAGGAAGGAAGTCGGGCTTTTCGATACGCTCTAGGTCACTAAGATAACTGCAAAACAAACGAAGCCATAGTCTGATAGTGCATGCCATGCATGTATTAAAGGTGATTGTGAGGAGAGGAGTTATCGCGACAACAGCTCACATGCGCGTTCTCCTTTGCCTGGAAGAATTTTCGATAGCGGAAGGTTCATTGATTTATCTTTCGTTGATCTACGCGACACGCGAATCGATACGCCAGCCATGGAGTAGTTTACTTAAACCATGGACAATATCTTCCGTCAGAGAATTAGGTAAACAGTTGATAGATTTTCTTTCTTTCCCCAAAGTATATTAATATTACAATTATAATTATTATATACTGTAATATTCTACAAACTTTAAATAATCGACTTAAATTTTAAGAGTTGAAACTCAATCAACAGATTGATTAACATACAAATTATTATTGTCTGAATATTGTACGAAATAATATTTATAAATAATATAAGCCGATGCTAAAAATTAATTTAATTACCGGAGTGCTAGCACCTAATTTATAAATAGGGAAGAAAATTATTGGGAACGGACATTAAGTGATCCAAAATTAGTTGAAGTTAAGTCATACTCCCATTTTGCTGAATTTTATGAATCAACCTTCGTACTCGTAATTTTCGGAGTAAACTGAGTCATGAGTTACCAATGCCTACACCTGTAGTAGTATAATATTGATTTTCCTACGAGAGGCAAAATATAATTTACGAGTCGGATATATAAATGAATAATTTATTATCATTAGATAAGAATACAATAAAAATAAATAACAAGAAATAATCTAAATAATCAGGAAACAACCCTTCATATTTTCCATTGCGATACTTATCGTTCAGTTTCGTTATGATACAAAATTATGATGTGTTTGAATTTTACACTAGTAAAAAGAGATATTCTACTAAAATATATATCGATGATCATATATTTTCAGATTTACGTAGGACGTTGCGAAAAAATCTAGTCTCCGGCAACACTTTTATTCGTCAATGTACCCGAAGGCGATATATAAAATACTCCTTATCTATGTGTCACGTCGAATCACGTTCGTATTCCGTACATACATTAATATCACTAATTTCTTGCTCGCATGCAGTATTCCCCCCATATAGTCGCGGCGCTCGGTTCCGCGTAACGTGATTATAGAGAGCAGTCGATACGAGACTTTGCGATCGTTTCATTCTGACGGAGACAAAGAGGGGCACTATTAAGCGAATGAGTGGGAACGAAAGCCCAATAATGTGGCGGGGATGGCGATACCATTATATAGGGGTCGGCGAAACGTAATTATAACGGGCGGACACTATATTTTTATAGAAATCGAGACAAATCGAATATTTTATGGACTAACAAGAACGCACATGTTACATCTCGTTCTCATTCTGTAAAATTTATACTTCACTGGGATAGAAGAATAAATGAAAACAATTGATAATGCTCAACATGGTGATTCGAGTTCTTTTTAAATCACATTTTGTCTTTATTATTCTAACGTCTTTTAGGAGCATTATCTATACCAAATCAAAGTGTTTCACATATAGTTAGTGTGGTTTAGTTCCATTTGTTAACCGAGTGATTTTTGAGATGTTACTATTTACAAGGACGCAACTCTAAACAAATTGGATTAATATGAACATTTTGTAATGGTACACATTAGTATTATCTTGTTTATGCTATTACGAACATTATGATTCAATGGAGTACAAGAATTATTCGTCGGATGACTCAGATTTTCGGAAACGTTTGATTTCTCATCTTCCTGCGGCTACCGGAAGTTGTTAGTCGATTATATTAGATTTAACAAAGATCAGCGTGTCTCGTAGAAGTGAAAGGTTCGAAAAATATCTAGGAAAATTGATAAATAAGAATCTGAATGGTTCCAAGCATCCGTAAAGTACCATAATCGAAAGTTTCAAGTAAATAGTTTAATTATTTAACCAACGAAAGCTCAACACATACTGTCCTTCTTTTCTAGCAACCAAGTCTTTAATACATAATTCATCTTTCAACGATAGAGATTTTCAATGTTTCCAAAAATCCTCGTTTACGATTAACACTATTTCTACCGAAGATGTCTAAAAACACCCTCTAAAACTGCAACGTAAAATGATTTTCCAAAACCGTTAAATTAATCTCACGATCATCCCAAAAACTGTCGAATAGAGTGAATCGACGAGAAATGATTGAAGCAAGAAAAGAATTTTCAGTGATAAGTTTAAAAGGCATCATTTGATGTCATCGGTAAAAACAGTGTTAGGTATTCAAGATAAAACTGGATTACACCGTGCCGAAGGTAACACTTCACCGGTTTCATTCGCGGAGAGATCATATCGCGTGTCGTGAACCCGAAAATATCAATGAAGCTTCCGCGCGTTTGCGTTGAGGAGGAAGAGGGTGGAAGAAAGGGGGTCCGAGGAAGAAACAGAATAAAAGTGATGATTCTCCATGTACAAAAGTGAGATCGGTGAGTCACAACGGATGCAGTCACGATGCAGAAAGTGTCCGACGCAAGTAGTCGACAGGCACATGCAG